CTTCATAAAACTCCGTAACTCCGTAAAATATAACTCATAAAAACGAACTTGGACAAAATGTATCTTATAAAAACGAACTTGGCGAAATATATAACTCATAAAAACGAACTTGGACAAAATGTATCTCATAAAAACGAACCTTGCGAAATATATAACTCATAAAAACGAACTTGGCGAAATATATAACTCATAAAAACGAACTTGGCGAAATATATAACTCATAAAAACGAACTTGGCGAAATATATAACTCATAAAAACGAACTTGGCCAAATATATAACTCATAAAAACGAACCTTGCGAAATATATAACTCATAAAAACGAACTTCGCGAAATATATAACTCATAAAAACGAACTTGGCCAAATATATAACTCATAAAAACGAACTTGGCCAAATATATAACTCATAAAAACGAACTTGGCCAAATATATAACTCATAAAAACGAACCTTGCGAAATATATAACTCATAAAAACGAACTTGGCCAAATATATAACTCATAAAAACGAACCTTGCGAAATATATAACTCATAAAAACGAACTTCGCGAAATATATAACTCATAAAAACGAACTTGGCGAAATATATAACTCATAAAAACGAACTTGGCGAAATATATAACTCATAAAAACGAACTTGGCGAAATATATAACTCATAAAAACGAACTTGGCCAAATATATAACTCATAAAAACGAACTTGGCGAAATATATAACTCATAAAAACGAACTTGGCCAAATATATAACTCATAAAAACGAACCTTGCGAAATATATAACCCATAAAAACGAACCTTGCGAAATATATAACTCATAAAAACGAACTTGGCCAAATATATAACTCATAAAAACGAACGTGGCCAAATATATACTTGATGGCACTACAGGGCTTTCGTAGAATAGGCCTACAATGTGATATTGGTTAGCAGAGTTAGTCTGCTAAAGAAAAACAAACTGCTAAACGTAATGCACAGATACACTCAACCAAAAAAGAAAGTCCCCCCCCCTTCAAATACTTTTTGGTCTAACTCAAAAACTACTGAGCACATCTCCCTCAAACAACTACTAATCAGTACAGAAATTCCTCAGCAATACAGCCATACATACTCTTTGTTTGGCCCAAAGCAGTGAAAACGTGTACGAATTTATGCAATTTATGACAAATGGTATCGAAAGCAGTTGCACTTCTGTGTACGCGCAAGTTGCGGTTCACACTCACTTTGCACGTATACAAAGGTGCAACTAATTTTTCGGTACCATATGTCATACATTGCATAATTCTGTACACATTATTACTGTTTTAGGCCAAACAAAGAGTATGGCTGGATTGCTAAGGACTTTCTGTACTGATCAGTCGTAATTTGAGCAGGATGTGCTCAGTAGTTTTTGAGTAAGACAAAGAAGTATTAAGGGGGACTTTCTTTTTTGGTTGAGTGTATAGCATGACATTTTGCCTGGTATTTTTTGGGTAGGCAAATATTTTCTGTAACTAGTGCTGTGCGTATTCAAATAATTTTTTATTCGATTATTGGAACATAGATTCCATTGAACATTTGAACACTGACATTGAGCTAACACTTTTTACGAATATCATGTATCGATAGGTATATATATTTTTTTCAATATAACTGATTAGCTGGTAGGCCTATACTTTGTGTATTTTAAAGATGAAACATAGGGCAAATATTTATAACGGAAGCTCTCTCATCACGCGTGTAAAGTGGCTGTCGAGACGCTCACATTATTTTTTGAACAGTCTATTTGGTATAAAATGCTATTTGGTGGAAGATCGAATATTCGGAGATTTGGTATTTTCGGTACAACCATACTTTTAGGTGCTCATCATTTTCCTGTCTTGTGGCATTCCCATGATATCAGAATCTACTATTATAATACTCCCCCGTCCAGTCGACTCCCCCAACCCTGCCAAACACCATTTTTCTCCTCCTGAATATTCCGAGCATCACCGAAAGGCCATCGTCAGGCGCGTGGAGGTGTGATGGAGTGTTTTGATGGAATTGATATTAAATCTAAAGTGCTGTGTTAATTAGGGAGCGCTTGGACCAAGCAAGTAAAGAGGCCCACGCTCGGCCGTATAGTCCTCCCAGTTCCAAGTACAAAATCCTTGTGCCTGTGCACTTCGCATAATTACATTCGATATAAAAAAATAATAACAACTGAGTATATTTAGACTGGTGCTGTCAAACTGAAGATCAAATTGATAAAATGGAGCCAATTTTCATCTGCTCGATGAAAAAGAATTGACAGTCACCAAGCACTGCAAAACATACTATTCGTAGAAAGGGAAAAGTCTGTTTCAATTAATGTTAGACACGTCGTCATTTAACATTGATTTTGCACTCAGCCTGTAGCGAAGTTGCATGTTAAAGTGAGCATGAAAATAATTTCAAGAAAGATTCCAAAACCGAATCAAGTTCTTGGATCAAGGTGTATAAACGCTGACGTGCTGGATGGGGGGGGGGGGGGGGGGGGGGGGGTTCGAATCTTGGGAGGATCGAATCTTGGCCGGATCGTTTCTGGAATTTCATGCAGGAACACCGACTAAAAAACAGTTATTCTTTGGAATTTAAGAATTTAGAGAATGAGCTATAGCTTTACTTTAATGTTTCATCCTCTTGCTCGGGGAAACCGACCAACAAACAAATAATCAAAAAGCAAGCATAAGCAAACAAACAAATGAACCAGTGTTTGAATAAGCCATTTGCGAGTGACCTCTACCCTTTGGGATTTAAATTTGAAAACATCTGGTACACTGACTTGCTCAGAATGCTTGGCAAATTTTAACTTTGCATTCTCCAGAGTCCAGACCAAAGACACTGTTACTAATCACATGCAAGAGACGCTCAGCACCAATACATTGTTCAGAATGGGTGAGAATGGCTCAAAGACACCAGACCATGCCGGAGGTGAGGGTTGCTAGCATAAGGCTTGCCCCGAATCCTGTGATATAGTAACAGTCTCTTTGGTCGGGAGAATGCAAAGTTAAAACGTGCAAAGCATTGGATTAAGTCAGCGTTCCAGATTTTATTCAAATTTGACTCGCAAATGGGTTTACTATATGGATAGGTGGTATCCTGGTAAACAGTTTGATAAATCCCACGATCTCACGAAACTCATTCGTCGAACACTAAAGGACAAGCTAGGGCCTATATTTAGAGTGATTTCACTGTCTTCAAACGTTGTTTTCATAATCCAGAATAGCTTCTTTGGATTTAGTTGTCGGCAGCTGTGTATATTATAACTGCGGGTAGTGCGGGACCAAAGCGCCCCGTGTTAAATATATACCCCTAAACGAAACCCGTTGGATTTCCTGCCACTATCGGTTTAATAATATAAGCGGGTAGCCTTCATCTCGAGTTCTTCTTACGGAATTTAATAATTGAAGATATCTGCCGTTGCACGAACACCTTGAACACACCTGCGGCAATCTTTGACGTACGTAGATTGAAGGGTCTGTGTGGGTTCTTCAAAGATGCGCAATATCATCGCGTCAACCCCCCCCCCCTTCTTACCCCAACACCATGCTGAAATCTTCTTTCATTAATCAAAGAACATTTGGCTGTTCAATGTGAATTTACCACCGAGTTGAGATATGAGGATTAGATGAAATTTCTGTATAAAAGTGGTTGTGATCAAATATTGAACTTGCATGAAAACAGTAAGGTTTCTAGAAATTCTGTAAAAAACGCTCCTTTAGTATGTTTCACATATCAAAGTTTACGGCGTAAGTTGATGCGTCTTGTTGGTCATTATACAGCCGTGTGGTTGCGAAGGCCTAAGCGTTTCCGTTGATACACAAATACGATTACGTACTTAAACGCTAAAACCAAGCAGTGAAATCCATAGGCCTACACTCCAAAAAAATGGCCTTTTGAACGTTGTGTTTATGCTCAGTATGATTGAAATGTTAAATTATAACGGAAGAAGAAATTCTAAACTTCAGGTCAGTGAAAAATCGCCGTCATCGATGCCGAAACGTCAATACTGGTTACTAGTAAAGCTGAACTTAAAGTCGGGAAGAAATCGTTCGAAAACGTCCCAAAATCTATGTATTTATATCAATTCTCAAAAGATAATGTTTCCTGGCCATGTGACACGCTATATAATTCCACTGTATCACGCGTGCGCCATGATCATAACAGTCCTCAACGTCTTGAGATGAACACACCGCGTCATCAGCACGCTTTCCTAGAAAGAACGAATGCATGGTGCCTGGGTGTGGCTTATTAGCATTTATACCAAGAGCACCCAGAATTCGGCATTGAATTGGTTACGTAAGAACATAATGTTAGCTTACTAAATGATTACAATTGCTCAGTACAATTCCATTTATACTGACGCATTTTACAGTTACGCAATATGACAACACTTGTGTCTTTCTTTGTATGAAACAAAGTCGCTCCATTCGTGCAAAATAATGGAGCGCTATAATAGAAACAATAGGGGGACGTCACGGGTGGAGTTTAAGTCGAATAATGCCGCTCGGTAACACGCCATTCGTGGGTAAGAATGGCCCGAGGGCGAACCCACGAATGTCGCGTACCTCGGGCATTATCATGTACGGAAAGATGTTCAAACAAAGTTAACTTAAATCTTGCAAAAACTTAACCTGCAAAACCGAGGATTTCCTACAATTACCGTGCGCAGAAATCTCGGGTGACAAACCACATTTGTACGAACAAAAATGCACATGTGCTCTCAATCGTCACATTACATATTGTCACATTACGTTTTGTCATAATTATTACTATAATATGGCCTATTGGGGTACGGTGATGCCAACTTTCAGCACGAATAAAATATTTTTTCTACACTTCTTGTTTATGACTGAGCTGAAATTTCGATGGTTTAAAATGTACACGTTATCTTACAACGTACATGTATAAAGTTGAGGGGGTATATAGTTGGGTGGCTGTATTATGATATGTTGGCGACAGCCTGTGTGACGTAACAAGTGACATCAGGCTCTGTGCATTTACTTACCAGAATTCTGCCAAAGCGGCTCTGGGCCGACATGAGCCTGGTAGCCCAGTCCTTAGCCGCTTCCATAGAGCGCATCTCACTCTCCGCGTTCTTGTCCAGCAAGTTCATGGGGCAGATACCGCCACACCAGCTCGACCCCTCGGGCACAGTCCCGGGGTGGGGCCGCCGGTGGTTCAGGCATAGCAACCTGCTGATGAATCTGACTATGAAGACTGAGCCGATACCGAAGAAAAAAGTGGCCAAACTGGAGGTCAGGAACATCCACCAGTACCTATCGTTGCAGTCTGGGTAACCACAGTAGGTTGCCTCGCATAACTCCTCCGAAAGATTCATGATGCACTATGTAGCTCTTCAACAACGGTAACTTCTGATACCCAGCGATACCAATATATTGGTATGACAATATCAACCCCAAAACTGACTTGTAAGGAACTCAATTTCTTGGAAATCTTGGCTAACGAACTCCTAACTCCTTGAAAATCTTGATGAAATGGGATCACCAAATCCACTGTTCATGCAGCGAGCTGGAGGCCTTTACTTGCCTGCCATATCTCCTGTTCTGACACTACTTTTTTGTTGACTACACTGTTTACGTGGTTCCGTTTACTAGTACTATGCCACGGATGGCTGGGTCGCGTAATTCTATTCAAATTCGTTGAAAAGACGTCTGAATTCTCGTCCTTGCAACGAATGTGCTCAGCAATCGGCTTATTGTATTCTTTTCAAAGGGTAAATCCAACTACAGGGCACAAAGAATTCCCCACTCGTTGTAACCACACACTAGAACTCAGGTAAACCGTTTAGTTGTCAGACCTACTTCACATAATACTCCGAGTATTCCACCGACTAAGCCATTAGTCAAAAAAGGTCGAACAGCCTACAAATGGTAGACAGAAAGCGCACACTCCAAAACTGCAACATTCCACACGAACGCACTGTGAAGTCTAAATGAGCAAAATCTGTTATCGAGCCAACTATTTGTTCCTTAACGTGAAGACGACGAAGTCAACATCCGTTAACTCCAGGTATTCCTCCCGTCGATGAAATCAAAATTGATTCACCTCAAAACAAAGCCATTTTTCTCGCTGGAAAGCGAGGAGTGATGACGAAAAGGCCAAGACCGTGCAATGACCACTCGGGTAGTTCAAAGCGACGGCCAGGTTCGCGAAGCGTTGATGACCGTCGCGTACACAGCTTTTTACCTGCCTGCAGAAGTCACAGTGCGTTGTGGCGCTGGTACCGCATCGACCCAACATTTTTAATGCGGAATACAATTGGTTTGCAGGACTCGCATGCGGCGCTGTGCAGAACCAGCTACGCTCAGACCCAACACCCGCACGCAATTAATGATGCGCACAAGAGGTTAGATTTCAGATAACAGAATTGTTATTAATAATCGGCTTAGATTTATGAGTCATATCAAAATGTTATCTGGTGCTCTCTTTCGAGGATAAGATATTACAGACGCACGAACTCACAGCTCACTTCAACGACGGTTAAATAACTGTTTTGTCACAAATTTGGTACATTAGGCTATGTATTCTTAATGCGAAGGAGAGGTTGTACTGAGTGATCTTGTTTCAATAAAACATACAAGAACATCGATTGCTCTTTAACCTAGACTATAGGGCGCTCCCATCAACAGAAATTAATGCAAACATTTACGAATGTTTTCCCCCAATATACAGTGCTTTGCAAATTCTGAATGCACGTAAGAATATTTTATGACATCATCATTTATCTGCTGTATTTGTTCTTGCTGCATCGACATCTTGTTTTGATAGGTCTAAGCTTTTTGAATAAGCAGTAAGCCTCAATTTAGGGTTTACATATCATTTATATTTTTTACAATTCGAAAAATTGATTACCATCCTACATCCCGCACCCATCATCTAAACACGCCCGATTTTCAAAAAATAACAGCCGACCGTGCCCTAGAATCAACACAAGAAAAGAGCTGATCAAGAAACTTAATAATTAGGAGGATTCATTTCATTGGAATATTGTACCTCCTTACAATCTTTCACCCTCGTGGCTTCTTCGGTGGCATCAAATTCTGTGCCAAAATACTTAAACACAATAATGCGTCGCCTTTGCTCTTCTTGTATAGCGCCCCCTATCTTGTTGACACAAGACAGAGGGCGCTATATAAGAAGAGCAAAGGAGGGAAAGAGAAGGCTTGTTGAATCGTAACGCTGGGATGGTTGAATCCAATGCCAAGGGGATATAGGTTTAGGCATGAAACCCTACTAAGTAGCTGTATCAAAATGCCGCGTAGAGTTTGTTGACATCCAAACTGGTAAATTACTGCTGTCAAGCTAGAAAAAACAAACGACTATGTCCAATTCTAAATTTTGAACAAGATTGTTCCGTTAGTTCCATTTGACTCGAAAAGACTACAGCTATAGTTTGACTCTTTTCTAGTCAAACTTGAACAAGAGTGTTTTCAAAGTGTATAAATAGACTCGAACATGCAAGATAAATGAATTTATATTTAGTTGTGCGAAGGTCAACATGCACTTTTCGGTTCTTTCGGCGAATTGCACGCGCCAGTATTCCTCCATGGCCAAACCAGCTGGCGAATTTTATTGCCTTTGTAAATAGGCAAAGCCACCACATTATGTAATCAAAACTATTGACATTTTTCAATGAAAGGCAAGAATACATATTTACACATTGATAACAGTTAGCATTTATCATATGATATAATCTCCTCTTTTTTTTTTTACGTAGAACGACGAACAAAATGTGACCGGCACCATAAAAAAGGGTATTATGTCGCAAAAATGTGAACGTAAACTTTCCTCTGGTATATAATTGAGCTCAATAGCCCCTCCCGTTCTGGAGATATGACATATTTGCATATTAATTACTTCCTTGGAGTTCAAATTACACAACTGAGAAAACAAGCTTTGAAATGGCTGATATCAGAGCCATGCACACAATATGGTTGTTTTTCCAATTTGTTCATCAAATCAACATTTCTGTGAATGAAACCTGAAACTGTAAGTATTAAAAATGTCATTCACAACAAAAACTGAAAATCACAATTTGATGAATTTTTCATCCTCTCAATGTTGAGCGGGCCATTACACAATACTGCTCAGCGCGACTTAATACCCTTTTCTGTGGAGCTGGTCACAAATTAACTAATGAAGTAATATCTGGAAACTATAGAGAAAACAGAGTTTGAACATGTTTTACAACAATAAGTTTTTATTCCATAAAAAATAATATTTAAAAAGAAGGGCACACCATTTGATAAACACGGCAACCCCTTTTAACAATGTAGTTATTGTTTTCCTTATAGATGTACATTTTCGTTATTGTTCCCTCTCTCTTGTTTGTCATCAAGGGCGGATTCGGGGGGCCAAAGTGGGCCATGTGCCCCCCCCCCCCCTCAAAAAAAAAAACGAATCCATTTTTTTTTAGTGACTTCGCAACAAAGGCAGGCAATGAGTACACCACCATCTTTTCCTCAAAAAACATTGGTTAAAGTGGTCAGAAATTGCCTCAGCCTGATCGCACCACAGAACATCTAGAATCCAAAAAATGTTAGGGGCCCTTAAGCGGGCCCCGAACCCCACCCCGTATTTTTTTTGCACACACTTTTTGGGGACCACAAATTTTTTGACCCCCCCCCCCAAAAAAAAAATTGTGTTCTGGATCCGCCCTTGTTTGTCATGTGCATATCTTACACACTTTGAGTGTTTCCAAAAGTAATTAATTAAGCTTTTCTTTTACATATGGTATAAATAGACATTGACCGATTACACGTCCTGCGGTTCATTTTCAAACTCATCTCCAAGTGACGGAATGCTAGATGCTCAGACAATAAGAAATCACAGGCTATTTCACGGAACCAGTCTCTGATGATGAATTCACAGTCTCGTCACGTGACGTAGAAAATATCTTGCCGCCATGATAATGGCGGATACCAATCAAATTACGGGAAGCCAGCGATTGTCTTAATCAAATTACACGATTTACGAGAGAGTCGGTTCGCGGCCGTTTGGTCATGGTGCATGTATAGATTTTTTTTTTTTTTTTTTGCATCCAGAAATCAACTCATGTAATTATCATCCAAATCTAATTTCGCAAACATTAAGTGAATTACGCGTATACGGGACTAGGGGAATTGATTCCTTGCATGGTCTCATCACGAAGGTATTCTAAATTAAGGGGTAACTGTTGTCATTTATACAATGTAAATAAACACAAATGGAAACGTTTTCGCCGGTCTTATCTCTCAGCGATATACGGGACATAAATTATAATAATTGAAATTGTTTTAAGAATGAAACCTGTTTGGGCATACAGTGACAGCAATTAAGTAAACGTACAATTTGATTTGTTTTGCAAATGATTGTATTCATTCGAAATTTTCCTGTTTTTAACAACTGACGGTATGCCGCCGAGTGTGTTTTTTTGTGTGCTAAAAAAAGACTGAGTTACTTCGTAAACGCAGTTTCCCTTACTTCATCACCATGCACCAGCTACAATCCTGGCCGAATCTCGCTGGGCCCTGGCACCCTCCCCCGGCACCCATTCAATGTTGTCTCTCATTGCGCGGTGTGTCCTCCATCAGCTGGAGAGAACAACATTGACCGGGGGAGTGGGGGCATGGGTGACTGTTGCTATAGGCTCAGGAAGTGTCCCAATCATTTTGGCCAAGATTGTAGATTGTTTCCCGGCCAAATCCGTAAAAACAAATTATCGTTTTATTTCTAAAGACGTGATACTGTTGAAATAGTAGTGACGGAGTTGAAAATCTGTATATCTGTCCAAATACAAATAGTAGAAGTCAGGCGCGAATCCAGAGGTGGACGAAACATCCCCCACCGGTCAGACACTCACGAAAAATAAATAAATTTTAATCAAATATAATAATGACACGGTCCGCCTGTCCTCACTAATCGGATATAAATATCTAAGGTGCCCGGACCCCCCCCCCGCAAAAAATCCTGGATCCGCCCCTGAACGCACCCGATAGCTCAAAAAAGCCTGCATAATAATAACGTTCACTGTTGCGTAATTCTAAGTACATTTAGCACAAGATGTTTAATTTCCCGTCGTCAAACACCAACGGTACCTTAGCTTAATCGGTAAGCTCTGCGGCTGGTACTGTCCGTGAGTTCCAGGTTGGCGTCTTCGTACAGGTTCAGGGCATGTGGTCCACTCGGAGGATCAGGGCTTAGGGTGCCGCCCTGTTCCTCCCTTAGCTCTTTGCTTTTACATGGCGCCTGGCCCTCCGGGGTTACATGGATGGACAGGGAAGGAAGTGTGTATTGGCCGGGACCCCCGAGATCCCAGAAGAGAGCTAAGGGGTTGGCTGGGGCATCGTTATGGCTCAGACCGACCCCTGAATGCTTGGCTAGCACATAACTTTTTGATTTTTTTAAATCCTCTATTGCTTTTTAACTTTGCTTTAGTTGGATATTTACATCTGCCCGGCAGGTCTCCGGTAGTATTTAAAAAGGAATCAAAGGTACACGTCGTGAATCTATGAATATTAAATAATTGATTTTTATCAAAATTAAGTTTCGTTCGATCAATATGACTACGGTAACCGTTCATTTTACGTCAATTGGTAAATTTTGTAGAAGTTTAAAAGAATCCAAAAATATTAGCCCAAAATTTTTGGTCTCAGAAAAATGTTTTATTTTTAATGCTTGACATCGACATGCGCTGATTTATTTGGTTCAGTTAATTAATTTGGATTTTCGAATGAAGAGCGGGATGCTCGGATCCTTATTCGTTTTGAATAGTGTGCGCAATTTCAGAACTGGAGCGCGCAATTTAAAACCAACTTTTCAAACTGTGTAAAGGCCTGCAAACTAGCTGGATATTTTTGTTCCTACTTTCCCGATATCTTTGGCGCCTATTTTACCCAGTAGCACACACAGGATTTAGCTGGGGGGGGGGGGGGGGGCTCACAATTTTGGGTGTTTTTTTTTCAAACAAATCGGGTGTTTTTTTTTGTGGGAGGGGAAATATTTTGACGTTGGTGGCGCCACTTACACCCCTATTATAATACTCGAAAATGTGCCACATACATATCGGTCAATTCGTGGACCAAAAAAATGAACCCCCACCCCCCCCCCCCAAAAAATTAAAACTTAACAACCTCTACGAGTGGGACGGGTCAACCCCCCCCCCCCCCCCCCCCCCCTTGGGTGCGCCACTAATTTCATCCACCTCTGGCCAGTGGCACAGCGGTAGAGGGGGTGTTCGCAGAGTGGCAAATTGCAAACAGCTAGCTACAGATTTAAAGAG